ACCCTGAGTCAGCTCTGGGCTGACAGCGCGGAGCCCGCTTGGGATTCTCTCCCTCCCTCTCTCTCTGCCCCTCCCTTGCTATCGCGCATGTGCGCTAGCTCGCTCTCTCTCAAAATAAATAAACTTAAAGAAAATAAAATACAGTTAGACTCTGAGTGTCCACAAATACTTCAATTCATGAAACTTTTTTTAAATTTTTTTAAATGTTTAGTTTTGAGAGAGACAGAGAGAGGTGGGGGAAGGAGCAGAGAGACAGGGAGACAGACGATCCAAAGTGGAGCTCTTTGCTGAGAGCAGACAGCCCGATGCGGGGCTTCAGCTCACAAACCAGGAGATCATGACCTGAGCCAAAGTTGGACGCTTAACTGACCGAGTCACCCAGGTGCCCAGTTCCTGAACCTTTTTAAAAAAATGAAATCGATTGGGAATATTGAAATCTTCATGCCTTGGGGCGCCTGGGTGGCGTAGTCGGTTAAGCGTCCGACTTCAGCCAGGTCACGATCTCGCGGTCCGTGAGTTCAAGCCCCGCGTCGGGCTCTGGGCTGATAGCTCAGAGCCTGGAGCCTGTTTCCGATTCTTTGTCTCCCTCTCTCTCTGCCCCTCCCCCGTTCATGCTCTGTCTCTCTCTGTCCCAAAAAAATAAGTAAACGTTAAAAAAAAATTTTTTTTTTTAAATAAAAAAAAAAAAAAAAAAAAAGAAATCTTCATGCCTTTATTGCAATGCTCAGAATACAGGTGGGGCTCAGGAGTTAGCATTTGTAGTAAGTATACTCCCAAGAATTACCAGGTTAACAGATGGGGGATTGAGGATTAGGATTGTGGTTCAGATAGACAGTCTTTAATACGATATCTGTCACAAAGCATGGATGTCTTATCTGATTTCATTGAAGTGACTTCATATTTTGAATGGGAAGTATTTTAAATGTGTGATGTATTTTATAACATCAGATTAAATGTAATCTTGATGTATTTCCAAAACTGAATTAATAAGTTGTATCTTTGTTTTGAGAAACTGTTTTATGGGGATATAATTCATATGCCACACAATTCACCCATTTAAACTGTACATTTCAGTGGCTTAAGATATGCCCATGGAGTCATGCAGCCATCTCCACAATCAATTCTAGAACATTCTCATTACCTAACAGAAACCTTGCACCCTTTAGACATCACCCTTAAAGTACATCTATCCCCACAGCCATGGGCAACTACTAATCTATTCTGTGTCTGTATGGATTTGCCTGTTCTGGACATTCCATGTCAATAGAATTACAAATGTAGTCTTATGTGACTGGATTCTTTCATTTAGCATGCTTTAAAAAAATTTGTTAATGTTTATTTATTTTTGAGAGAGAGAGACAGAGTGCGAGCGGGGAAGGAGCAGAGAGAGAGGGAGACACAGAATCCAAAGCAGGCTCCAGGCTCTGAGCTGTCAGCACAGAGCCCGACGCGGGGCTCCAACCCACAAAGCGTGAGATCATGGCCTGAGCTGGTCAGATGCTTAACTGACTCAGCCACCCAGATGCCCTCACTTAGCATATTTCAAGGTTCATCCATGTTGTAGTATGTATCTTCTTTGTTTCCTTTAATGACGGTAATACCCCATTGTATGGGTAGACCACATTTTCTTTATTGACTCACTAGCTGATGGGACATTCTGATTGTTCCTACTTATGAATTTAAAAATATTAACAGTTGGTTCCGGATAAAGGAAAATGGCCTTGTGTTGTAAATAAAGGCTGAAGTGGCTTGTGAAAGAATGGCTATCAGAGACTATCTCTTAAACCGTAGTGGAGGAGGCAAAATCTATGTATTACAGAGATCATTGGTAAAAAGCAGCTCAGGGAGATAAGCCAAGGGGAACCATTGGCGTTAACAGTAACATGAACTTAAAAATAACTGGGATTTTATTCATCTTCCTGAAATACCTGCAGCCACATCTGTCACGTGAACTGAGGAGCTGGACCCTTGTCCCGTGGGGGCTGCTGTGCTTGGGAATCCCTTCGCCCTGTGCAGGGCGACCTCCATCCTGGGAGAGGGAGGCAGTTTCACACTTTCTGACAGCCCAAGGCCATATTCCAGTTCTCCGTGGCCCCTGGCTGTGAGAGCAGGGTGGGCCACCTAACTGTGGCCAGTTGGATGATCCTGCCTGGGACTTTAAGCCTGGATGAGTGACCCCGAGGCACAGGCAGGCAGAGTGCATTTTGGTCGTAGGGGGCACAGCAGATGGGAGTGCCCACTGGAAGTGGGGCCCAGGGGAACCTGGTGGGACCATAGCAGCAGTGTCCTTGACAAAAATCCTCCTGGGGCAAGATTTTGGCTGTGGTTCTATCCCCTCAGCAGGAGCGAGAATAGGCAAGGGAACTGTGATTTAAAAAGAAAAAAAAGAACTACCAGCTGTACCAGTTACTAAACTTTGTTGTGATTAAATACTGTTGTACTTGAGTTAAGAAGTTTGTATAGTAGTTAAAAAGTAAAAAATTAGAGACCATGAAATTTCTCTCAGAACTTGTAACACCCTTTAGAACACCCTTTGGCACACTTGTTTTGGAGTACACACTTAAATCCTTTGACTATTATGGATTCACAGTTGGGCACCGCCCATCCCCCTGATCTTGCTACCTGAACACAAGGTGTGACCGAGGGCTGATGTTTTATTCCTCTGTATACAAATAGAAAGAGACATCCATAATACAAATGTCCATATTTATTACAATAAAATATTGACCTGTTTTCACTTTTGCACTGAACTTTTCATAACTTAAATGACCTTTTCTCTACCATTATAAACTAATGGCTACTTATGTACTCATCATGTCCAAATAATACTCAGCTTATCCCAAATAAGACCATAGGACACCCTTTAAGCGGGCTCCCTTGTTCTTTCAGAATCCTCCTTATTTTCAAATACTTTCTGGTTTCTGGCAACCAGACACAATTTGATTCTTCTGCCAAAATAGGAAATCAATATTACATGGAATTCACGCTCCTTTTAGTTGACATTAGTATCAGAGTAAGGGCTAAAAAATTTTATTTCTCAAGTCATAAGCTTACATTGATCTTTCCTTAAAAATTTTTTTTTTTTTAGCATTTATTTTTGAGAGTGAGCAAGCGCAAGCTGGGAAGGGGCAGAGAGAGGGAGACTGAGGATCTGAAGCAGGCTCCTTGCTGTCAGCACAGAGCCCAATGTGGGGCTCGATCCCACGGACTGTGAGATCATGACCTGAGACGAAACCAAGCGTCAGCTGCTCAATGGACTGAGCCACCCAGGTGCCCCTACATTGGTTTCTAGATTACATGCTGGTGCTATCAGCATGGTACTACTTTTATTAGTTTGTCATTTTATCCACCAATAACATTTTCTTCTATCTTTTAACTTTCTCTAAACTCCATAGGACAATGTTGGGCATATAGGTCATAGGTACTTAATAATGTTGAGTGACCTCTCCAAAATAAACGCATCGTTTTTACAGCAAAGGGACCTGTGTGAAGTGAGGAGGCTGAACCTCCAGTTTGATGGCCGTTGCTGACTGCAGTCGGTAAGGGTGACATCATTGGCTGGCTGCCTGGGCCTGGGGAAACCTACTTGCACCAGAGGCAGTGATTAGCATCTGTTGGTGAAGGTGCCACTCCTCTTAACCCCCTACTCTTTTTCTTTTCGTAAGGCTAGGATTTACTTCTGTATAAAAGGACTCTTTAGCCGTTAGATGTTGAGATTAAACTCCAAGGGAAGATTTGAACATGGCCTCCAGGTATCCTTCCTGTAAGGTGCACTCTGGGCAGGCAGAGCTTAGGCCACATCACCTTGAAAGCTGCTCAGTAGTCCAAGGATGGCTGGCTACCTCTGGGCTGGGTGGCCAGTCCTTATTCATTCTGCTATGGGAGAAATGTGGTCCCAAGCTCGGTGTCATGTACATGTGCCTACTAGGTCAGCTCAGACTTCCCAGCTCTAGAATTGCATAGCCACATGGGAAATGAATGGCCGGAGTGGGAAACACATGCAGTGCCTTTATACTCTTTACTAGTCCGGGTGGAGTGCCTTCCATCTGCCCTCACTGCTCCCAAATAGTACCTACAGTTCCAAAATTCTATGTCCCCATTCTCAATTTTGTGCTCGAGATGTATTTGCTGAAAAAACAGTAAATTACGACAGCTTCTATAACTGGGAGAAGTATAAAATGAATGCTGACCATGGAGTGCCTACTCTGGGCCAAGTGTTTTCAGCATTGCACACGTATTAATTATCAAAACAACCATTATGACAGGCATGTGCCTACTTCAGTAGATGGGGAAACAGAGAGACAGAGAAGATGAGTAACATGTCTAAGTCCTGTTTTGAATCAAGACGCCAACAAAACTCTAACCTTCTAGTTTTTACAGAAGTATGGATGTCTGTAACCCATAATTGTGAAGCTAAAATCTGGGTATTACAGAAACTGTCAATAACTAGGATGTTTAATGATATTTCAAAGCACAAAGTACACCATCCCTCAGAAGTGGGAGTTACACACCCATTTTATGACACTACATTATGATCAGGGTAATTAGACTAGATCAGTCTCAACTCAAACCAGTACAGATATACAGTATGGGGAAGAGATATTAACTTAATAGCCTTGTTGGTTAACTCTTCAAAAACTAGAGAACATATAACTACAAAAAATGGAGGTGGTATCCGTCAGAAGAAGAAGAGAGACTAAAAGTTTTGGTATCTTGTTTGGCTGAAAGTAAAAGGGATTCTGAACGACCGGCTTGATTATGATCAAGAAGGTCCGGAACAGGTAAACCCTAAAAGACCGCTGGAGGTGACACACGTATGCCCCAGACATGCTGCACCAGGCTTGTTTTCAACGAATCTCTGTTCGTTAAAAAAAAAAAAGGCCAGAGGCGCGGGTGAGGAATTCTTTCTTAGCAGTTGTTCTTCTGGGCTGAGTCCATGATAATGCAGATAGCCGGACTTCTTTCAGAACTGGCTCTAGCCCCGAACGGGGGAGACTTCACTACTCTGTGACCCAACGAATCTTGCCATTTTCTCCAAGCTGTACAGTTCCACTGGCTACCAGCTGGAGGGCTGCGGGAAATAGTCTGTGCTCTGCTAATTTCACTCTTTCAGACAGAGTTGTAACGGTGTCGCCCCTCTTCACTGGAACAGCTTCTTGTAAGATAATCTGTCCAGCATCTACATCTTCCTGGGGAAGGAAGCAAAAGTTTTGAACATTACTTTCTAGCCGGTACAATTTACATACAGACAGTAATGATGTTTTGGTAGAAGGAGACATACTCACAGCTACAAAGTGCACAGTACACCCAGTGACTGTGACCCCGGCTTCTAGGACTTGCTCATGTGCATTTGAACCCTTAAAAGACGGGAGCAAGGATGGATGGATGTTGAGCATTTTCCCTGGAAATTAATGAAACCACAGTGGTCAGAACTTAAAGATCCTATGTATATTACCAAAGGAATACATGTTTTCCTGTCTAGAATGAGAAGTCAGCAGGAATAGGATTTCTCTGGGATGGGTGTTTCTTTGTGAAAGACAGAAATGAAGGAAAGGGAAATCTAGCTTCTCATCCAAGAGGTCCCGGGGGCAGCAAGTTCTTGCCTCTTGCACAACTTAAGATCCACCCAGGGACTCTGAATAGGTGCCTGCAGTGACTGAAAGTTGGATGGGATGGGTCAACTCCGGATCGTAGAGCTTGAGGAAGATTCGGCTTGTCGCTGACACACAGGAGATTCCTGCACAGCATCTGCGTGCTTGACTTCTGACCACGAAGTGGCACGTCCGCCAGCCAGATGCTAGGTTAGTTCTGTGAGCATTATGTCACCAGAGGCACTGCCAATTTTGTATTCTATCTAACCACATTCACTTAAGAAAACAAACTCTTTGGAGAGAGAATACATTTATTGCCCAAATGTAAGCACAAAAAAGGACACTTGGACGTAGTCAAAATGTTAGTGGAAAAGGCAATGACATAAAGTGTGTTTTCCAGAAACAATGCCTTCCCTGCCATGTCTGGCAGTGGTCTACACTCCCTAAGAATGGACTCTTCATTTTGGGATATAGGGAATCGCTTTCCTTTGCTTCTCAGCAAGTAAAAATGTCTCTTCTGAAGATGAAATATTAGTAATGTGAGTAACCTAAGCTGTATTAGAAAAAGTGATGATAGTTACAGCAGGCCAAAGAAAACTGATAAAAAGAGCAGGAAAATAAAAAGTCATTGGGTCATTCATTCTTTGAGCAGAGGCAAAGGAAATTAAATTATGACCTGTGTTAAAATGGCCCAGTAAATATTTCACAATTGGGATTGTTTGGGAAGCTAACCACCCTGTAGTTTGTTTTCATTTGATTTCTCAATGTGGTGTCAAATAATTTTTGCTTACCATTCCATTTTCTGACAAAGGGGCCAGATAAAATTCTCATGAATCCTGCAAGACAGACTATGTCTGTGGAGAACTCTTCAAGGACTTGGTCAATTGCAGTGTCAAATTCTACACGACTTTTATATAATTTATGATTGATTACCTGTAATAGAAAAAGAGAAGCAAAATCTTTTTAAACGAATTACCAAAAATAATTTAAAACTCAACCTTTACGTGGACCATACTTCACTTCTTTCTGATGAAGATGTGCCTGATGTAAAGAATTAAGGAACGGGGAGGACGGTGTTGAAAGGCACACACTGTGATCCAGAAAGCCAAAGAACAAGCTGTCCTACAGACCGAAGTCTTGTGGGGGCGGGTTATGAGTTGAAATACAGTCTACAGGAAAGATACTTTTCAAAGTAACTCACTCTGGTGGGAATTCCGGCTCTTTCTGCTTTATCTAAGCCAGCCACTGCAGCTTTGTTGGAGATAACAACAACGATGTGTGCACAGCTACTTGGCTCCCTAGTATTGTCTATGAGGGCTTGGAGGTTTGATCCTGAAAAAGAGAGAAAAACACAAGTAAGCTGACATTTCTTAAAAGAGGTTATGTACCGTTCTGAATAATCAATGGTCAAGATTTCCAAATAAATGTCTCAGAAAAGACTGGCAAAATACATGAGGTTTTTAAATTCCCTTTTGGGATAATGGATCAATAATAGCTTATGGAAGCACAGGCACTCTTAGTTTTAGGATATGTAATTGCTCCTGCAAAATAACACCTTATGATCTAGCATAGTAATAAAAATAGTATAACATTTTAAAAACTGATGAGGAATAAGCTGCTTAATTAAGCAAGAAAAAAATCCTCTTTTTTTTTAAGATTTTATTTTTTTAAAATGTTTATTTTTGGGGTGCCTGGGTGAGGCTCCCCTCACCCCTTTGGGGTGCCTGAGTTCGAGCCCCGCGTCGGGCTCCGTGCTGAGAGCTCGGAGCCTGGAGCCTGCTTCGGATTCTGTGTCTCCCTCCCTCTCTGCCCCTCCCCCGCTCAGGCTCTGTATCTCTCTCTCTGTGAAAAATAAAACAAACATTAAAAAATAAAAAAAAAAAAAGTTTATTTTTGAGAGGGAGAATGCACGAGTGAGCGAGGGGCAAAGAGAGGAGACAAAGAATCTGGAGCAGGTTCGGCGCTGCCAGTGCAGAGCCTAACACAGGGCTCGAACTCAGAAACTGTGAGATCATGACCTGAGCCAAAGCTGGACGCTTAACCAACTGAGCCACTTAGGCGCCCCAAAGATTTTACTTTTTTAAGTAATCTCCAGATCCAGTGTGGGGCTCGAATTTATAACCCAGAGATCAAGAGCTGCATGCTCTACCGACGGAGCCAGCCAGGCACCCAGAAAAATGGCCTTTACAACAGTTTCTTTGCGTTACCATCAACTTGGGCCTAAAGTGTACTGAAACCTTAAAATGGACTTGGAAAGCAATTACATTTCCGGGAACGTATCCTAAAGAAATAATCAGATATGCACTTAAAAATGCATATTTATAAAAATGTTCATAGCAATGCTGCTTATTAAAGTGGGAAAAATAAACATGCTATATGTCCATCTGAGAGAATACAGTGCTCTTATTACTTCACCCCTGTCTACAACAAACATAAATTTCACCTTATTACCATTAAATTAAAAAAATTAAAAAAAAAAAAAACCCTCAGCAGTTTGCTGGAGGGGTTTTGGGTGGGGAGATGGGCTAAATGAGCAAGGGGCATTAAGGAAGATACTTGTTGGGGTGAGCACTGGGCATTATACACGAGACAGATCACTGGAATCTACTCCTGAAATCATTATTGTACTATGTGCTAACTTGGATGTGAATTAGAAAATAAATAATAAAAATCATAAAAAACAAGCAAACAAACAAATCTCAGCTGTTGTAACTTTTCAACTACAGAGCTACGGTACAAAAGAAGTTGGATTTTCTATCTTTTCCAGTTCCTTTCTCTTCAGTCATCTTCGTGATACCCTCTACTCTTCCTTTAGGTGTCTCAAAGGCCTGAGAAAAGTGTAAAGACTGAGGATACAGAAAAATAATAGCCCTTAATGACTCCCTGCCCCATTCTACTGAGAGTGTCCTCACGATCTGAAGGAGGTTTTTTTTTGGGGGGGCGGGCAGGAGGAAGGAAGGAGGACACATCTCACCTGTTCCAGATATTAAGACAGCCACTCTTGTCTTTTTTGGTTGGACAGAGAAATGATTTTTCAGAGTGCCATTCTCCAATACTGATCCATTTGCTTGCATGGTTTCAATCAGATGCTTGACTTTCACACGAGGAGAACCTTCATTTCAAACACACCCAGTAAATAAGAATAGAACAACAGTGAATTAACAGTAATGGAAAGAAAAGTATTTTATGAAAACTGAAAATACTTTATTCTGAAAATAAGATATGCATGGACTAAAATGAAGAATAGGCTTGTATTACGTAAAGTTACTCACTCATAAAAACTTCCTGAAAGAGAACATGTATTAATTACCTACTTCCAACTAAAAGCTATGGCGTGTCACTGTCTCCTGACCTCAGGGTAGGCATGTAACCCAAGCAAGGCCATTCAAAGATTTGATACAGGATGTTGAGGAAGAGAGGGCCTCTTTCCTAATGCAATGTGAGCTCAAGGATGTGGGCTCAAGAGATCTTTCCGGTATTTGGAGAACTGGCCTGAAAAGGAACCTACACAATAAAGGGATGAAAGGCAGATACGACATCATCAGCAAGTACTGGCGTCTGTCAGCTCATCTGAGTGGCTTTTCTGCCACTCTGTCAATTTCTAGTACGTCTGACAGAGTCCTGTGTATACACGGCACTTGTCAGGGCGCCCGCTTCACTGGCGAGCTGAGCTGAGTCACAAAGCACAGCCTGAGACAAGGTCTCGCATGTGGGCACAATACTTTGGAGATGACCCCAGGAAACCAGAGTGAAGATCTGGGAAGAGTGATCTGGAAAGCCAGCGTAAGAGTGTGTTACTAAACTGGTCGCCACTGGGGGCAACTGGGGCTTGACTTCCCCTGGGACCTCAAAGGCACCGTGAAGACTCTGCCTCAGAACTGCTCCCTTCTTCTGTCCCTCAAGTGGGGATTTCTTCACTCCACTGGTTAAGGGTTGTCTTCTGGGCTACAGTTGTGCATATGTGACCACCACACAAGGTGTCAGCACCCTAGGGCAGGAGGGAAGAGGTGTGTGGTGTTACTAGCTTCTGTCCTGTCGCAGCTGTGTGAACACGGGTGCCGTACAAGGGCTGTAATAAAACGTGGGCAGGAGCTCGAGGCAGGGCAGTGGCATTTCAGGTTACATACCTAAGAGCAACTAAAGAAGGAGCGATTTACCTTCAGGACACGCAACCACCTTGCCAATCACCCAGGCTTCTTCGCTGTGCTGCTTGATATCCCTCAGAATCTGCTCTGTCCTATCCTTTGACACCACGAGGACGGCCCCAACCCCACAGTTAAATGTTCTGGCCATCTCTTCCTCAGAGAGGTGTCCTTCTTGCTGTAACCACGAGAAGATCCTGGGGATCCTCCAGGTCTGGGCATCTGAAAACAGGCAAGATATGTTTCATGAACCTATTATCTCACACAACGTATAACGTATGCATATATACGAAGCTGTGAATTTTTGGGGGGATCCATCTGTACCTGAGATAGCCACAGCATTTTTGCTGACACACTTGGCCAATATTCACAATTAAGTGAATATTGGTTTTGTGCTGCATTAACTATGTTTTTAGGAATCCCCTAATGGATTAATTGTATTCCAGTAAATACAGTAAATTCCAGTAAAGGTTTGTGAACGTTTAGTTGGGTCTTAGCAATGACCAAAATGCACCCTAAGTATGATGCAAAACTAGGCGGCTTATGTTACAGATTTAGAGGAATGTGTACACTATTTAAAAGAAGTTATAAAGAAAAAGAAGCTATATAAAAAGTTAAAATCAAAACCCTGTCCTGCTGTATTTACTTTAAAATTTAGACTTAGGTCTGCTATAATACAACAAAAATCTCTAATAAAAGTTTATTTTTATTCTTTTTTTTTATTTGAGAGAGGAAGAGAGGAATATATATATAGAGAGAGAGGGAGACAGCACACGTTTGTCCATGAGCAGGTGAGGGGCGGAGAGAGAGACAGAATCCCAAGCAGGCTCCACACTGTCAGCTCAGAGCCTAATGTAGGGCTCGACCACCCCCCCCCCCCCATAGCATTTCATCTATATAAGTCAATTACATGCAAGGATTTTATGCCTTATAAACATGGTTAATAAAGCAAAAAGAGGTAGAAAGGTCAGCCCTATTTTTTCTGAGAAACCCTAACAATTAAGAATTTAATTTTCTTCCATAATGTAGTTTTCCTCCAAATGGTTTTCTGAACAAAAAGTCCCTTGTACCAATCTTACCTAAATCCACTCCAGATTTCTCAGGAAGGACTCTGGGGATGTTTTCTAGCAATCCTCCACCAGTAATATGGGCAAAGGCCTTGACATGTCCTGAACGCAGGACAGGTAATAGCGAATGGCTGTAGATTCTCGTTGGAGTCAGAAGTAAGTCCCCTGTGTATTGGAGAGAGAAGACAAAAACTTAGCCTCTGAATGTAAAACCAAATCATATATAAAAAACAATTCTGAAATACAGAATGATTTGACCCTGCACAGACACACCAGGTTTTACAATAAGGTCCCAACATTAAACTCACAGGACAAGGTAATTTATTCCATTCTAATTTACTAAGGAAAGACTAACCCATTAAGTGGTTGCTCAGACATTTCCAAACGGGAGAGTTGAAACCTGAGTGCTTTTACCTAAGGTCTGGTCACCACAGCCATCAGGTGCTGGAGAGGAGTACTGGAGGGAAGATTTTGCTACAATTTTCCTCACAAGGCTAAATCCATTGCTGTGAAGACCAGATGAAGCTATTCCAATAACAACATCCCCTTCGGTGATTTTTTCCAGGTGGGGGAGTTTCTGATCCCGCTCCATGGCACCGACGGCAAAACCGGCCAGGTCATACTCTCCAGGAGGATACATGTCAGGCATTTCTGCAGTTTCACCTCCTGGAGGAAGATACACCAAGAACAAAGAAATCACATAGTATTTATAAACCTGCCTAGGAAGTAGTGACACCAG